CACGCTGGGGGGATGTGGGTGTGGTTTATGGTTTTGTGGCCAGAAGTGGGTGTGCAGGGGTGCATGTCAGCAGTGGAGTGGAAACCACACTCTGACCCCTCTACCTCCGAAGGCAGAGGCCCACGTGGTGCCTGCACTTTAAAAATACGAAGCCGGGCCTCGACTTCTGTCACCAGGAGCCGTCGGTCTGGGCTGTGGGGCTGGGTTCTCGCTCTGCGAAGCAGAGGGCCAGCACGTGGGGTTTGTTCAGTCCCGGTGTGGGGTCTCGAGGGCTGAGGGCTTGATCCACGTGCCCCCCCGCAGCGTCCCCGAGCTTGCCATGGCCTGTGGGCGGGGACACACCCGCGGCCTGCCCTCCCTTCTGAGCCACCGAGCCGGGGTGTCTGCACGGTCAGAGACAGGAGGGCGCAGCCGCCTCCAGGGAGACCCTAGTGATTGGAAAGGCACAGCACGATTTAGGGCCAGGGCTGCCCTGGGAGGGACCGGAGAGGAGGAAGGCGTGTTGCCCGGTTGCCTTGGTGACACCGGCCACGAGGCATGCGTCCGAAGCCGTGCTGCAGAGCTCGCTCCCCTGCCGTGCGTGACCCTCGGCTCCCTGTGCGCCGATGGAGGGGAGGCCCCCCGCCCCCCGTCACAGAGACCGGCCGGCTGCCCACCCGCATCCGCTCTGCTCCTGGACAGCAGCTGAAGACCGTCGGCTAGACCCCCACGGTCTGCGTCCATGGTCTGCATCCGGGTGCTGGGCTGGTAACAGGTGGTCCATAGCGCCCGCGGACGGTGACTGGGACCGAGGGCGTTCAGGCCAGCCCCCTGCAACGGAGCAAGGCCGGCTGTGTGGCCGCAGCTGCCTTGGAGCCCTGTGTGGAATTTGTCCTGGTCCCTTTCATGGCGCACTGAGTGTTGAGCCCCGTACGAGTTTTCAGTCAAGGAGATTTGGTTGTACCTGTGATGAGACCCAGATGTCTTCTCGGGGCAGTGAGGCTCCCGAAGCTGCGCTGGAGGGCGGTGAAGATGCGTTCACGAGACCGCGGTCTGCGCGCCAGGAGCGCTGAGAGTGAGCCCTGCCTTCCTTCCACTCGTGCAGACAGCCGAAACATTTAGCACGTACGAGTATTTAGTGACCCGGCCAGAAATGCATGTGTATGCTTAGGTTTGGTTTTGAAATCAGAGTCAGTCCTAACAGTCAAGGACGAGGACCGTGGTGGCCCTCTGTCCGCCCGAGCCCTGCTCTCCTTCCTGCCCCGTCTCCCGCCTCGCTGCGCCTGCTTGGACACTCTGGCCTGGGTGACCCAGCAGCGCTGACCGCGGGGTGGCCATGAGGCCCTGCGGTCCTGAGCGCCCAGGCAGGACGGCCCATCTCTGGGAGGCGTGGGGTGGGGAGGCCCCGGCGAGAGATGACCTGTGAGTTCTTGGCGTCTGGGCGGCACGTCCACGATGGCCACAGAGGACTTCTGGTCCAGCGTGTCCATCTCACACGTGTTACCACGAGTGTGTGCACATGGTTCACGGAAACGCTCCACCAGCTTCAGCTTGTCCGTGTGCTAACCATTTGCCCGCTTCTCCCCAAAGCTGAGATCACTTGATGACTAACACGGCTCACGCCCTTAACAGGGAGCCTCTGTGGGTGAAGGCTGCCTGCCTGCCGCGGCCGGCTGGCTTCTGGGGGTGCGTGGGGCTCCTCCCGCGGGGCTGCTCCCCGGAGGCTCCGAGGCGGTGGCCACCTGTAGAGTAGTTGCTCTTGTGGGGAGACTTGGGGAGCTCCCGAAGCTGTCCTGGTTTAAATACTGCAGATGCCGGGCACACCATCCCCCTCCAGCTTCAGGGTGGTACCAAGGTGGGTGGGAAGGCACACCCGTCCCTGGGTGCACGCGAGGAACGCAAGATGGGAGAGGCTTCTGGGTTCTCTCAGAGGGACTCCTGAGTCCCCGGTGGCGAGATTCGATGAGGAAGATACAGCCTGGCCCCTGGCGTTTAGTGGTCTCTGTCCCCTGAGACACGTGCTTTATTACGTGGCACACGGGAGCTCCGTGGGAGGAACACGTTTGCAGGGCTTGCACCGATGTCAGAATCTCGGCATGCTCAGCCAGGAGCCCACCTCCCTGCTCATGTCGTGAACACTTAGAGCAGTGTCCCTATGCAGGGGACGGCCCTGCCCTCCTCGTGCTCACGTGCTGGTGCTGTGCTCTGCTTTTACCAGGCTCAGGACTGCATGTGTGAGGGGCTGAGTCAGCTTAGACGCTGGCCTCCCCAGCTCAAGGCAACTCAGTCAGACCTCTGTGTGCACGGAAATATCCTGTGTATGTGTTTAGAAAACAGAAGTGGGATATCGTGTGCACTCTTACGCGACGTTCTTCTTTTTTTAAGATTTTATTTATTTATTTGACAGAGAGAGAGACAGCGAGAGAGGGAACACAAGCAGGGGGAGTGGGAGAGGGAGAAGCAGGGAGCCCGATGCGGGGCTTGATCCCAGGACCCTGGGACCATGACCTGAGCCGAAGGCAGACTGTTAACGACTGAGCCACCCAGGCCCCCCCTTTCTTTTTTAAGATTTTATTTATTTGACAGAGACAGCGAGAGAGGGAACACAAGAAGGGGGAGTGGGGGAGGGAGAAGCAGACTCCCCACTGAGCAGGGAGCCCGATGTTGGGCTCGATCCCAGGACCCTGGGATCATGACCTGAGCTGAAGGCAGACGCTTAATGGCTGAGCCACCCAGGCACCCTGTTTTTTTTTTTTTAAAAGATTTTATTTATTTGACAGAGAGAGAGTGAGCGATAGAGGGAACACAAGCTGGGGGAGTGGGAGAGGGAGAAGCAGGCTTCCCGCTGAGCAGGGAGCCCGATGCGGGGCTCGATCCCAGGACCCTGGGACCATGATCTGAGCCGAAGGCAGTCGCTTAACGACTGAGCCACCCAGGTGCGCCCCCTTACGTGACATTCTTGAGAAGACAAAACGGAAAGGTTGGAGAAGAGACCAGTGGTTGCTGGATGGAACTGGGGGTGGCAGGGTGGACAGGTTGGGTCTTTGGGGGTGAAGGTGCTGTTCTGTGGCCCATACCTGCCCCTGTTAAAATTCAAAGTCCATGTACCCAAGGTAAAAGGGTCGGCTTTACTGTCTGACAATTTAAAAAAATAAAAACTAGATGTGGGCAAATTGATGGAGTTCATGTAGCAGGAGTAATTTTATCACAAGGGTGAGTTCATGGAGTCTGTCATCAGAAGTTTATAAATGAAAGCAAATGTGTGTGGTGTTCGCTACAGATGTTTTAGTTTATGTGCACATACTGTTAAGGAAAAACAAATTTGATAAATGGATAATCATTGAACAGCTTGCTCCCTTTTTTTTTTAATGAAACTTCATGAAAATACTTGATATGCAGTTAATCATACAATTTGTCTAGATGAGTTCTAAAAATCGGGCCTGGTGGATGCATAAAGATCCAAGTAAAAATGTCTTTGATGGTGTTTCTGCAAAATTACTCATTATCTTACTCCACGGTGAAGCAGTGAGTGTGGTTAGATGGATACCCATCTGAAGTATTTGTGTTGGAAATATATCTTCGTTTTTAACACAGACGTACCAGGGGAGGATGGAATAAGCCGCATACTTGGCTGGGCCCCATGCACGATGAAAACGCAGGGCGCCTTGCTCGCCACTGTTAAGAATTCTGAGACCGCAACCGCAGAGACTGACAGGAGCCAGGAGGCTTGGTTTCTCCTTGGCCAGCCCTGAAAACCGTCCCAGTGGTCACATGTACTGACTTTTTATCTTACCGTAACAGTATGTTTGTCCCTTAAAATAGTTTTAGCTAATAACACGCATATTTGCTTTTCACTTGCCCACTGCCAATGACTGACCCAGCACGGCCTAGTGCTAAGTTCTAAGGGCGATGTCTACTTTACTCACACCCGGGTTGACGCCCGAGAAGCCGCCTTGTGGAAACAGACTCTAGGAGGCTCACCTTGCTCGACGTGGATGAATCAGCTCTGCTCCCTGGGTTTGCTGGGCGCTGGCGGGGAGGGTGGGGTGCGGCTGAGGCCATCTGTTTCCATGGACACAGAGGAAGAGGGGGCTGTGACCGCATGTCCTTTAAAGGGTGGCTCTGAGATGGATTCTGCATTAGGATCCTGCCTGTGTGTCAGCATGGGGCCTCAGCGTCCTCACCGGGAGAATGGGGGTTGGGGCATAGTCCTGTGGGGGGGGGGAGGGGAATGAGGAACTATTCCCCCCCACACAGAGAGGTGGCCCTGAGTTGGGGATGGGGCTCTTCCCTGGCCCATCACTGTCCTTCTCTATGTTCTTTTGTCCTTTAGAGAAAGGGCACTGGGGAGCTCATTTTGTTGTTGGAAGACCCTGGCCATTGGAAATCTGGTTTAGGTTAAATGCCATTCCTAGATAGCTCTTACTAACCGCAATGACATCAACAATGCGTTAAAAACACAAGCGACAAAATGTCAGTCAAACCCAGAGTGTGAGAGGTTCTGTGACCTAATGCACCAGCCGTGGTCCAGGAGTTCAGGTCCCGGAAGACAGGTGCTCACGGAGTCAAGGAGACCAGCAGCCAAGCGCGTGCGGGGCCGTGGGTTGGGTCTGGGAGCAGAGGATGAGCTCAGGAGGGAAGCTGGGACACTCGAATAGGGCTTGCAGGTTAGTGAACAGTGTCGTGTCCACGTGACTTCGTGGGTTTGATGACGGCACTGTGGTTCTCTGAGATTTTAATGTCACGGGACGCGGTGTGAAGGGCACACACGGGGGGAGCTCTGAATCTTTTTTGTAAGTCCGAAGTCATTCCAAAATGAGAAGTTAGAAAAGGAAGAACCACTGAATGCTTGAAGAGATCCACTTTTTAGAAATTCTCAGTCACCTGGCCTTTTAACGCTGGTGCTGTGGCCCCTCTTGGGTCAGCACAGACGTGGCTTTCAGTTGGTGCTGTTTGCTTCTTGTCCTGCAGACCAGGTCTACGTGGGGCCAGGGCAATTGTATCAAGACTTACAGAACCTGCTGCATGACCTAAACATCGTCGGTCAGATCTCTCAGCTCATCGGGAACCTTAGAGGAAACTACCAGGTAACCGGCGGGGCCCCAGGACGGAGAATTCTGTTTCCACGTCCTAGACTGCCGTCAGTATGTGGCCATGCCTCCGGGTTCTGCCGGAAGGGAGAATCAGGTCGATTTTGAGAACCAAATGTGTGTTTTCTCCCGTTTTGGGCGGGGGGTTGGGGGTGAAGCTGTTCTGGGTCGCTTCATTTGCGTGCGGCCCGAGCCCCAGGGGTGTCTGTTTGGAATGCACTGTGAGAGCTACAGTCTCCTCGAGGGTTTGTGCGCCAGCCTCGCTGTCCTCCTCCCTGGGGGTGGCCCTGCCTTATCAGTGCCTTCACCGCGCGTGCGTGTTCCCTTCGCAGAACTTAAACCAGTCCGTGGCCCACGATTGGACGTCGGGTTTACAGAGGCTCATTTTGAAGAAGGAAGAGGACATCCGCGCGGCAGATTGCTGCCGAATCCAGCTGCAGCTCCCGGGGAAGCAGGACAAGTCAGTGGTGACTTTGCAAGGCAGCCTTGCTGGGCAGGGCTGAGGACGGCTCTCGTGGAGCAGTCGTGGCCACCGGGCGGGATGGGCAGAGCTCGCCCTGTGATCCCACGGTGTGTAAACCGGACGCCTCTCGTTCCTCCTGGCAGGTCGGGGCGGCCCACGTTCTTCACTGCTGTGTTCAATACCTTCACCCCTGCGATCAAAGAGTCTTGGATCAACAACCTGCAGATGGCTAAGCTCGCCCTGGGTAAGAGCGGCGTGACCTCAACACCGTGAGGTCTGTGCAGACGAGCGCGTGACCTCGTCCTCTGCTTCTCTCCGTGACGGTGAAGTCCATGCCTGGGAGAGGGCATCACAAGAAAGACCTTGACAGTAGATTTCGTTCACCTGAAAGGATGTCTCTAGTTTTGTTTTTTTAAAGATTTATTTATTTATTTGAGAGAGAGACAGAGTGAGTGAGCAGAGGGAGAGGGAGACAGACAGACTCCCGCTGAGTGGGGAACCCGATGTGGGGCTCGATCCCAGGACCCTTAGATTATGACCTGAGCCGAAATCAAGAGTCAGGTGCTCAACCGACTGAGCCACCCAGGTGCCCTGAAAGAATGTTTTTAAACAGGAAAAATGAATGCCAGCACGAGTGATTTTTTTTTTAAGATTTTATTTATTTATTTAGAGAGCTGGGAGAGAGGGAGGGAGACGCAGACTCCACGCTGAGCAGGGAGCCCGATGCGGGGCTCCATCTCACAACCTCAGCTGAAATTGAGTGGGATGCTTAACCCACTGAGCCAACTGGATGCCCCCCACCCCCCAGCAGGAGTGATTTTGAAGATACCTATATTATAATTCAGAGATTGTAGAAAAAATAAGCCCTCACTTTTATTATACGCACACTGACATCAGCTGAGACTGCACACGAGCAGAACAGCCCTGTGGGTCTGTGGCTGGGTGTGTGGCCTGTGCCAGGAGGCCCCGCCCCACAGTGGGGACGTCCTGCTTCCCTCCCTCACCTGGGGAAACGTGTAGGTGGCCCTGAGGTGTCACCGGAGATCCTGCCTGCATGGGAAGGAAGTCGTGTGCTTCGGTCAGAGACGAGGGGACTTGATTATTTTCTTGCTCCTCTGCTTGCAGCCTTGCGGTCTGTTGAGCCGAGAATCAGACCGATATGTATGTGTGCACGTATGTCGTTTACACACGGGTGTTACTCAGAACACACTGTGATACCGTGTGCATGTGTGCTGTTCTGAGACGCGGGCAGTCTGCTAAGTGAAAACAAAATACAGGGGACGGAGAGCCTTCCCACCGCCGCCCAGGCTTCCGCGGGCTCTCCTCTCTCCTCCCCCAACGATTCCATGGTTTGTCAGGGCAGACTCTTACCTGCATCGGCAAGCCAGAAACGGCCCCTCTCTGACGAGAGAGCCTGAACCTGAAAATAAGCTTCCTTTCATCCGTTCACAGCCGAGATTGACAACTTGCTCTATAGCAAAATGTCTCTTCATTTCCTCGTGCTTTTTAAAAAGTTAATTAATTAGAGAGAGCGCACACATGCGGGAATGAGAGCATAAGCAGGGGGGAGGAGCAGAGAGAGAAGCAGACCCTCTGCAGAGCAGGGAGCCTGATGCGGGACTCGATCCAGGACCCCAGGATCACGGCCTGAGCCGAAGGCAGATGCTCCACTGACTGAGCCCCCCAGGCGCCCCTACCTCACGCTTTTTTATCCCGTAGTATTCTACCGTGTTAAAACATCTCAGCTGCTTTGAAAAAAAAGAAAAATAGTGCTAGGTGCTTTAGGAGGACTTTCTCAGCCCTTCACATCTGTGCAGTCCCGGGGAGCAAACAGGAAAACAGGACACGCTTTTCAGAATAAAGCAGTGAACATACAGGTCTTCCTTTAAGAAAAGATGGTGCTGTGTTCCAGAAACAGTATTTAGCTCTGCAGGCCGGTGTAGAATATCATGTCTGAGTCTGGGGCCCGCAGGGCCGTGTCGAGGCTGCTGGTGGCTCAGCGCTGCTCTTCCCCGTTTCTCGTTCACATGCCCGCAGAGGAAGAGAACCACATGGGCTGGTTCTGCGTGGAAGATGATGGGAATCAGATCAAGAAGGAAAGACACCCTCTCCTCGTGGGACACATGCCAGTGACGGTGGCCAAGCAGCAGGAGTTCAAGGTGATGGGGGGGACCTGGAGATGGGGTCCACTGTTCACGGAGACAGTCCCTGCTTGTCCAGTTTGGGGCAAAGTCCCATGTTGTTTCCCCAGGTCAACCAGTTACCATTTCTCTGCAGGTATTTATTTAGGAATTATGATTGCTAGACTATGAAGCTGAAAGCCTGCTTTTCTGCCCGGCGGCCGTCCCGGTGCTGGGGGGTCCCCGCTGCACCTGGTGCATTCCAGGCATTGTTAGTTACATGAGGGCACCCGCCTCAGGTCTGCCCGCTCTCCTGCCCTTTGCCTGGCCGTATTCAGTGTCCACAGTGTGTCACAGAGGCCTCGTGTTTGCTTGGAGTACTGTGCCCTCTCTTTGCTAAAGCAGGCCCCTGCCATGTGGCAATTTATCAGCGTTCCCATTCTGTTTGAGACAGACGCTCCTACTTTTCCTTCCTGGGCTCTAGCCGACACTCAGCCCTGGAGCTCCTGGGAGGGCAGGCGGGTGCGCAGGGGGAGGAGGTGCGGTGTGTACGCCCTCCCGCCGCACCCAGGGAGTGGCAGCCACCTCAGCGCTGTGCCCCATGAGGGACGTTGGCGGCGCGTGCCGGGGTCTGAAGATGCAAGAGTGAAGACTAACGTTTGCCTCTAAAAAGCTGGTTTCTGAGGCTTGTACCTTCATCTGTTCTTTTCCCCGTTTTAATCTTTAACCAGTAATAAGCTGCAGTTTTTGTGACTAAATGTCAGTAGTCTGTTACCTGCTCAAAATACTGTGTCGCGGGGGCGCCTGGGTGGCTCAGTCATTAGGCATCTGCCTTCGGCTCGGGTCATGATCCCGGGGTCCTGGGATCAAGCCCCACATCAGGCTCCCTGCTCAGCGGGAAGCCTGCTTCTCCCTCTCCCA